GTAGGGGAGGATGACAAAACCACGATGGTCGGTATCATTCGTTCCTTGTTGTCTACTCCGTTGGCGGCCATTGTGAATGAAATTTACACAGGATGAGGAAAGATGAACTGATGAACTGATGAACTGATGAAAGATGAACTGGTTAAGAAATATTCACTTTTCACGACTCTCGGCCGTTTTGCTTTGGGAGTTCACTGTTGCCATAATTCGTCGCATCAAACATATAAATGGCCGGGATGAAATTAAAACTTTCTCCTCTCGTGGCGTTTTGTGATAGTGTCAGACAATTCGCACTCAGTAGACTGGGGGAATCGTAAATTAAATGTAGAAAAAAAGGCCGATAAACGTTTAAGAAAACAAGCCTCATTAAACTAGACATTGTCTTAACATTAGGTTATGTACGTGTTTTGAGAAAATTTGAGAACTTACAGTCGAACCTGTATATATTAAGCGGCCAGTTTTCAAAGGTCCGATTTTTCGCTCATACAAACACTGTATGTGTTACCTGTATTAGACGGTCACCTTTATTAAGCGGACGCGGCCACCATGTAGCAGTCCAATATTTGTCTTTCTTTGTTATTTTTACCTGTATTAAGCGGCCACCCTGAACGTCACAACTATGAAATTGAACGTAACAACTATGAAATGAGAATGAGACATTTTGTTGTGAACTGTAAGTTATAGAAATACAGTACTCTATACCGCATAAGAGTAGAGGACTATTTATTGCACAGTACTTTTACACAATGTTAGGTATATTATACCGTTAAGTTGTAGATACGCCATTAAAATTGACATTAGACCACGCCGAGTGAGTATTTTTAGTGATCTTGTATTATAGGCGGCCAGTTCCTCAAGTCCACCGAGGGTGGCTGTTATATACAGGTTCGACTGTATTTTGTCGCTTAAAACAAACAAGTTCGTTCAGATGAAGTTGAATTTACCCAGGGAAAGATGAAAAATGAGAGTTTGGCTCTCAATGTAAAACAATTCAAATATGTGTGAACATTCAAATTAAGAAAATACCGCGGAAAATAATGGTTGCCGCTCAATACATTGTTAAAAAATACATATTCATGAGCTCAAATTAGAAATAACTCGGAAGGAAAAATATAAACAATACAATCCAAATTAAGTTCGTTCAAATTGAAAAGAAACTCGGAAGGAATATAGAGAACAAGGGGTTTGCCGCGTAATACAAGAAAATTCAAATATATACGTGCTCAAATTCAATAAGAAGAAATAACCCTGCAGGGATAATGTAAACAAGACAAACAAGAAAATCCAAATAATTAAGTTTGTTAAAATGGAAAATTGTATCGGAAGGAAACATGGAAAATAATATTTTTGCCGCCAAAACAAGTTAATCCATGTATAAAACTCGTTAAAATTAAGGAAAATTGACTCAGTAGGAAACACAACAAATTATATCAAGTTAACAGCTCATTTCCAGACATTCTATAGGTACAAGTTCGTTGAAATTAACACCAGAGGAAAAAAACACAAATCCAAACATTTTTCTATTCAATACAAGGCAATCGAAATATACAAGTGCGTAAAACTAAAGAAAAATTAACTGAGCTGAAAAATGAAGAATGTTTTAGCTCTCAAAACAACAAAATCCAAAAATACAAGTTTGTTCAAATAAAGGATAAGTATTGACGTAAATCACGAAGAAAAATGAAAAATTACGTTTTACCGCTCAAAACAAAACAATAATGAAAAAATTTAGGAAAATTACTTGAGAGAAAAATTGAAAATTATTTTGTTGCTTGAGGAAGACAATTCATAAATCCAAGGTCATACAAGTTCGTTGACATTAAGAAAATGCCGCTCAAAAACAAAACAATTTATATCAGTGTAAACTGGTTGAAGTTGAAGATGAATAACTAAGGAGGAAAACAATATGGAAAATCAATCAATGAATGCGAATTTGTGCATACAATTCGATGAGAATGAGGAGAATTAGGTCATGCACGATAGTCACAAGCTCGTTAACATTGAGCAAACTTGAATCCGATAAAAAAAAAACCCGAGCAAAATTTTGATGCACGAAACAAGACAATCCACATTTACAAGCGTGTTAAAATTAGGAAAATTGATTCAAGAAAAAAAAAAAAGAGCAATATTTTTTAAGCGCCGAACAAGGCAATCCACACTTACAAGCTCGTTAAAATTAAGGAAAATTCACTCGAGGAAAAACGAGAAGTATACGGAAGGAATAAAGGAAGAGGACTAGTGCCGCAGCAAGGGAGAACATTGTTGCTGAAACATTGGTTGATTTTCTAAAATGTATCCCTGTTTTCCCACTCGTGAATGCAACATTTGTTGCAGGCGCAAAAAAAGTGAGCAGTTCATTTTCTTTTCGATTTTTTCTCGGAAATGTTTTGCTTCCAAAGCAAATGTGCCCCCATTTGCCTCTCTATCCTCCCGTCTCCATACGACAGGAAATATAGTTTACAGGAGTGCATCGTTTGTTTGCTGTTTTTGTTTTTTACAGCAGTGCATCGTGCAAACAAAGTTTTAAGCCTCCAACCTCAACTAATTCTCCGCGCTTTGGTATTTCAATGGCCCTTCAGTCCATGAGTGAAAAACCTAACGATAAAATTTGTTTTAATTTCAAAGGGAGAAAACTCACTTTGAAATTTCAGAGTCATGTTTTCAGAGTAGTAATTGGTGGCCCTGGCAGGCAAGAAAAGAACGGAACAGGAAATTTCGATGTTAGAAAATCCCTGCATCAGCAAACAACTGTTTTGTAATAAGTGTGAAAAACTATCGTAAAACCCTCGGGTGCTCTTCTGCTTGTACGACTGTTTGTCCACATCTATCTTGAAAAAATATTCTAAGCGAGCTTGTTGTAAATTACCACAAAGCAGAATTGAAATTGGACCAAAATAGAGGTTTTACTCGCGCGAATTGTTATCAAATCGGTCAACAGCGAGAGAATATGGGGGGGGGGAGTGTGTGTCGGGAGGGGAGGGGAGAGAGGAAGAACCCTTATTATGCTTTCTGAAAGTATCGCCTCTCAACCAAGAACCATGCAGCCTACAGCAACCACTTATGTGAATCTTTAATTACTTTATTATTTTTAAATAAACTCAAGTGTCATATATTACTACATTATTTCTTTTTTTCTTCATGTTTCTATACGAAAACGTTCTATACAAAATTCATCGACGCTTTTGCGGTCTATTAAGTTAAAACTTGTTACTTCTATCAATTTAAACACGAAAGCGTTTTATTATTCCGCTATCCTTGAATGTACTCATAGTACTGTTCCACCAAGTGACTTATGTGAGCAAAAGCAGTTCTTAGACCAATCTTTAAAAGACCTAGCAAACAAAAGCAAAACAGATGAGAAAAAAACAATTTATTTAAGTGCCGAAGTGTCTAACACTACTGTACTAATTGAGGACACTGAAACAAGCAAACAAAAATTGTAAATTGAAGAGAAACTTGTTAAAAAACCCAACTGGTGGGAGGCTGACCAGTTGGCTATTTACAAAGCGGGGAAGAGTTGAATCTGGGACCACAAACCACAAATCCATCTAGTGGCAGGGAGGAGGATTTGAACTCGGGGCCCCCGGATCACACATCCAGCGGATCACTAGGCAACACTGCCTCCACTTAAAACATTAACGTAGAGTTGTTGTTTTCCATGATTGAATGATAACCGTTTGTATTTACCTGATTTGTAGCTACCTTCCAGCATTGTCTGCAACGAGTCTTGAACATCAATTTGAACTAGCAATACTGCATTCGTGTGCGTTAAGGAGCCTGGAAAAACAACGAAAATGAGCTACCCGAAACGATATAATTATCCTTAAAAAGACTAAGAGGGCGATGTTAAATTCATTGCGAACTTCACAGACAGGGGGTCTCTTGAGAGAGGGGAACCTAACCCAGAATTTGATCAGCTAAACGCAAAAGGCAGATGAAAGACATGCCACGGGCATGGTATAACAAGTTTCCTTTGAGGGAAACAATCCTGTTGAAGGAAGTAAATAAAGCTTATGGCCTTACAAAAGCAATGCTAAAGATTAGATTGTTTCCCCTAAAGTGTCTTAGTTTAAAATATCTTGGAAGCTTAAAGAGAGATTCAAATTAAGTATAGATTTTTAATGATAGCAGGACGTGTTGACGTTCTCGTCAATTTTCGGAAGTCCTCGGGTACTCGTGAAGAACATTCGGCAATGTTCGGCAATTAGTCTTTTTTGCGCAATCTTCGGTTACGTTCGAAAATCTTCGGGTGATCCTCAGCATGGGTGAAAGAAAAGGGCTTTAATACCTTGGATTCCTAATTGCCAAGTTACAAGTGAAGCAAAGTGAATCTTTGACCTCGAATGGGATTATCTTCAAACAGATCTCTGTGGCCGTACCGACCAATTTATTCAGGTCTATTTTTTATCACCACTTCCGGGATTAGAGAGAATGAATAATCATATGCTCTACGAAGCGTGCGATCACTCGCAGAATCACGTGAATCTTGAGATATTCCAGAACACATAATTTGCCAGCAGCCTCGCGTTTGGTGTCACAGTGAGGAGGCTAAAAACACGAGCTGGCTGTCGGAACACAAAAGAAGGTGTTGTCTCCCAATCCCGCCGAGGCGGTGCGAACTGTATACGAAAGACATATTACCTGATGTAGTTATAGGCGATAATACAAATCCCGACAAACCTGCCAATACTCTGGTGAAACCCTAAAAATAAGACA